GCCGGGGGGGGGCCCCCCCCCTGCCTCTAGCAGACCGGCTCGGGCTTGGTGGGCCCAGACGCCCATGGCCTTGTACTAACCCTGTTTTCTCTTGTCCCAGCTGTGCCTTTGTCACCTATGAAAAGATGGAGTCAGCAGATCAGGCTGTGGCTGAGGTTGGGACTTCCCACATCTGTTCTACCCATCCCTCCTGCCGTCTCCATGTTGTCTTAAAATACTGGAAGCCAGGAGGAAAGGGGTTCCTCTTGACAGAGGGAGCCTCTCCCTGTCCACACAGAGAAATGGCTTGCTCAGATCCCTTTGGAATCCGCCCCAGGACAGCAGCTCCTTAGGTTTATCTGTAATGTTTCTCCTCCTCCCCGCCCCTCCCTCTCTGCTCCAGCTCAACGGGACCCAGGTGGAATCCGTGCAGCTCAAAGTCAATATAGCCCGCAAGCAGCCCATGCTGGACGCCGCCACCGGCAAGTCTGTCTGGGGCTCCCTCGGTAAGGATGGACGTGCCCCTCCCTTGTGTCCCCACGGCTCACCCCTTCTTTTTGTTCCTTTGCCTGTCTCCGGGTTCCCTGGAGGTGACAGAGGTCAGGATGTGTGTGGAGGCCGTGGGAACGGGAAGGGGAGTCGTCAGGCCCCCGGGCGGGGTTGAGTTGGGGCGTAGTAGGGTGTGTGTGTGTGTGTGTGTGTGTGTGTGTGTGTGTGTAGGTTTTTGCCATCGGGTGCATGCGCTCACCAGAGAGGGAAAGTGAGAAAATGTAGATTAGAGCCTCCCACTTCACTGGGCCAACAGCTGGGCCAGCGTACTACCTCTGGTCACCAATCGATAGTATTAGGGAGACTGGCTTTGAGGTGGGAAAATACTACTTGGACCAGACTTAGGGGACATCCAGGGAATATGTCAGGAAGTGGGGCGTGCTCCTCACGCCCCCACGCCCCCAGCCTACCTGACCTGTTAGGCTGCCACCGAGGACAGGAGGATGGGGCCAGTGCCAGAGGAGCCTGGGCCACTGAAGCCAACAGACAGTCTCTTTGGGGAGGGAGGGTGGTCAGCAGTGCCCAGTACAGGGGTCAGAGAGGATGGGAACTGGTGTGGGAGGGATGGGATCCTCGGATGGGTGAGGAGAGGGCCATGTCTGGTGGAGGGAGGACACAGAACCGGGAAGAAATAGCAAGAAACTCAGGGAGAGTGTGGGGCTACACCTGGATGAGGTCTCCACGTGAGGCTGCTAACGTTTCTCAGTGAGGTGAAAATTTCACTCATCTGTCAGCGAATTTTACCTGAAAATAGACGTTTCTGGGAAAACAGTGAGCAGAAAGGAGAGTTCCGAGACAGTAGCCCTGCAGACAGAAGGACGAGACCACCGCTGGCCAGTGTGTCCACCCAGGGCTGCAGGCATTCCCACACCTTTAGTTTTTGATGACTGAAAGTGGTGAACATGATCCGCCTATCTCAGGGCTCACGCTGGGGGTCCTCTAAGGAGTCGTGTCACAGCTGCAGTCTTCACTGCGGGGATGGGTCGGCTGCTACCCGCCTGAGGGGTGAGCGGCAGTGGGCCGTTCTGGCCACCAGAGGGCAGCATGGAAACTGGGCTTCCAGGGGCCGGAGTCCTCGGCCGCCTGGCCTGCCCTCTGAGGGCCGATTACAGATCTTCCCACCTAACTGCCTCTCCTCCCTCCCTAGCTGTCCAGAACAGCCCTAAGGGTTGCCACCGCGACAAGAGGACCCAGATTGTCTACAGCGATGACGTCTACAAGGAGAACCTTGTGGATGGCTTCTAGGAGTGGAGCTGGATGCCCTGTGCCTCATGTGCCCCAGTGCTGGTCTCAGTAAACACTGAGGTGGACCCACACACCTCCCTCAGCCTCTGGTTTTTCAGCCCTTGGGGTTGGGGTTAAGCCTTTAAAAACGGCTGTCAGTTGTTTCATCTCAGTTGTAACACGGCCAGTGCACGTCCCCCCTCCCTTACCCCAAAAAGATGTGCAACACAGGTTTTTTTTCACAGTTGTTTACTTTCATCCCAATCCCCGTTC